GAGAGAGAGAGAGAGAGTACTGGTAGGGGTGGAGTGGGGGTCATCTTCTTAGTTTTTTATTTTTATTTCATAAAGAATTAATATAAATAAGAAAAGAAAATACAAAACTCAAATCAAAAGGGTAAATAGGTAATTTCAATTTTTTTTCGACAAAACCTAGAAAAACCTTGATTTCGGACATTCTGTGCAAGCTGAAAACTTTTTAGACCTCATCCAAAGATTTTTGCAAACCACAAGGACCAAATTTACATTTTTGTTTCTAAGTTAATAAGTGATTATGAAAATTTGTTATTCAAACATTGAAAACTCATTTTACCAGTACCATACTGAAATATATATATATATATATATATATATATATATATATATATATATATTATATATATATATTATATATATATATATATATATATATATATATATATATATATATATATATATATATAAACAATCATAAATACCCCATCAAACAAAAAAAATTGTTACTAAAAACCTAAATACAAAGATCATCTCATAGGACTCACTAGAAAGTAAAAATGCTGATCCATTCAAACAAATTAACAAAAGTTAGTTCGACACGTGCAACAAATTAACCGTTTTAAACCTGAAAAATCTGAACAAAAATTAAATTAAACAATGCAAAAACGCTGTTATAAAATTCTTAAAAAAAAAAAAAAAAAAACAAACAAACATTTAAGTTTGATAGAGCATATAATAATTTATGAAAGATAACTTGTCATCTTTAAGACTTGTACGTTACAAGCATACAAGGCGTGCAGTGGAGGAGGACGACGGACGGAGGGATCTAGTAAACGCTGTTTGACCAAAATTTCTTCTTCTGGCTTACAGTAACGACAAACCATGGTAGAGAAGAATGGTAGTATCGTAATTAAATCAATATTTTTGGGCATTTATATGTCTCAATGGTCAGATCTTTAATTTAATGTTCGGCGGCGTCGTTTTTGTTGTTGTGTTTCATCTTCCCCTCTCCCCTCTTCATTAATTCGATAACGTCTCTTGCTATATATATAAGGCCTCAGTTTTTTCTTCTCACAGGAAAATTCAGAATCTATACATACAAATTCCTGTATTTATACGTAAATATATATTATAAATCTATATATATACACGATATACCCATCTGTATATATATACAGACACATATCTGTTCTTTTTAGAGAGAGAAAGAGAGAAGGGAATGAGAACAAGGCGTGGGATTTCTTATCCCAAGGTGAATAACATATGTTGTGAGAAGAGAAGAGAAGGGAATGAGAACATGATACACAGCCGGAAAAGGTTCAAGCCGTCGTCGGGGACACCGGTGGTGACTCTTTCCGGCCAGTGTGATTTTCTTGATACGCTTCCAGACGACATCGTTTTGTTTATACTTGCAAAGCTTGGTGCCACCGCCGGCTGTCCCTCCGATTTTGTCAGCGTTTTATCAACGTAAGGATCCGGATTTGGGATTTTGTGACTTTTTTTACAGTTTCTATTTTTATGTCTGAAAAAGGATCCGATTATTACGACAATTTTGTTAATTTTGTTACTGATTTTGTTTGTGTTTGTTGAACAGATGCAAAAGGTTAAACGCGTTAGGTGTTCACTCTCTTGTGTTATCAAAAGCATCTCCGAAAGCGTTCGCTTTTAAATCTGAAAACTGGTCGGAATCTGCTCACCGGTTTCTTAAACAGTGCTCAGATGCCGGAAATGTTGAAGCTTGTTACACACTTGGCATGGTTAGTCTAATTTTTATGGTCTATACGTGTTGATTGACATTCTATTTGGGAACATTAATTAAACTGACATGAATTTTATTTTGTTTGACACAGATTCGGTTTTACTGTTTGCAAAATCGAGGAAGCGGAGCGTCTCTAATGGCTAAGGCGGCGATTAATTCTCACGCTCCGGCGTTATACGCACTTGCTGTGATTCAGTTCAACGGTAGCGGAGGTTCAAAAACTGACAAGGACTTACGCGCCGGTGTAGCTCTTTGCGCCCGTGCGGCGTTTCTCGGCCACATCGACGCGCTCCGGGAACTCGGACATTGTCTCCAAGAGGGTTACGGCGTACGTCAGAACATTGTCGAAGGGCCGGCGGTTTTTGGTTCAAGCCAACGCCCGTGAACTTGCCGCCGTACTTTCAACAACTCCGTCGGCGTTGATGTCCGGTAACTGGCTGACATGGAACCCGCTACCTCACCTCCGCCATGGAAACGTCGTGGGTCCTGGGTGTCCTTTACTTAGCGATTTCGGGATGTAACGTGCCTGCACCGGAACCTCATCCCTCCAACCGATTTCTTACAGATTGGTTTTCCGATAAGGTACTTGCTCCGGGACTTCGTTTATGCTCTCATGCCGGTTGTGGTCGGCCGGAGACTAGAAAACATGAGTTCCGGCGATGTTCAGTTTGCGGAGCAGTTAACTACTGTTCTCGAGCCTGTCAAGCACTCGACTGGAGGATGCGTCACAAGATGGAGTGTAGACAGGCTGAAAGGTGGGTCGATGACGGCGACGTTGAAGACAACGGCAATGTTAACGACGATGATGGAATGGTTGTCGAGAGTTGAAACGTTCGCCGGAGATACTGAACTTGACGGTAACGATAACGGTACCAGTGATTATAACGGCAGTTGAAGCAAAGTTTTGTTGGGGATAGTTTTGGAATTTCAAAAATATGCTTTCTTTTGACGTTTGCCGGAATCTCGACGTTAGTAAGAGAAGTTCAGAGAAGTTTGAAGTTAGTTCTTTTTTTTTTTTTTTTTTTTTTTTTTCCTAAGGTTAGCAATTTTTGTACAATATATTTTAATATAGCTGCCTTTTTTAAATTATAAATCTAAAAATGAAAATATACTTATTCAAATTTACGTTTATAATCCCTTTAATCAGAAAAAGTGAAATTGTTTCGTAATTTTCATTTTTTTTTTTGTCTAAAACTAAAAAAAACGAAGATGATATTGGATTTAAAAAGAAATTATTTGTGGTTTTATTAAAATTGGGTCAATGTATTATTTATGTACTGAAGTTTTTGTTTCGTTCTCCAGATAATTGCAACTAAGTATAGTTTTTATTATTCTAAAACATTCTTTATAAATTTGGTTACATATTTTTCTTTAAAGAAACAAAAGAATACCATGTCGTTTGTAGGCTAGAGAGTATACATTTGTGCGCACCTCTGCAACATGTTCTCGTTTGGAAGGGATGAGTTGCCACACCTTTAATAAATTAATATTTAACATTTTTTAAGTATTTTTTAATTGTTACAAATTAAAATAATGATAACGAAAAAAAAGTCTTACAACCTTACAAACTTCAAAAAAAATACAAACATAAATACTTATTCACTTAAAAATAAATAAAAACATCATAGCTACTATAATATAAATGAAAATTTCATCCGAAAATTGATCTTTTAAATTATAAGATCGATCGGTCCCAAGATCGAACGATCCAAATAATTTCTATCAAATCTTTGTAAGAATTATTTCTATTCTTGCAAAGTCTCATTTCGCTTCCAATCTCATATGCTTGCTAACAAAACGAATCATTTGAAAAGTCGTTGAAAAAAATAACCTTGAAAAATCACGTATTCATCAAAATAATCGTGCATGGGACATTCGTTTTCTCTTCCTCATATTTTCGATATTGGTCATGTGCAATTGTCATGACATGGTGGCGTGTTTGCCACAACATGGTGACCGGTTTGGTTACGACTGGTCGTCAAGCTACCACGATGTGGGTAATGGGTGGCCACGAAGTGGAGGTTAGTTTGTGTTGTCTTTGACCGTTGTCTATTTGACCTAGGTTATTTTTGGTCGAATTGATAGTTTTAGAGTGTAGACTAATGTTTGATCTTGGGTGTTCGATAGGTTCGTTGTAGCATCGGTTTCACGGCTTTACGAGTTGTGATTGTTTTGGCTTTAAGTGGGAGGTGAGTTTTCTCACTATACTATATAGGATGCTAGCTATTTTTTTGACTTGCATTTATGTTGGGTGGGGTCTCTTATGTATGATGGGCAGAAATTGATATCTGAGTTGGGCGGGGCATGTTATGCTAATTGGGTGGGGGCCGTATGATTATGTGGGGTTTTAGGGAACTTACTAAGCTTTGTGCTTACAGTTTTATGTTTAAAAGTTTCTGATAGTTTTGGTTCTGAAGGGAAGGGTTCGGTTTGATCGCACTGCATCCTCTGAAATTTTATTTCGCACTACCTTTTTATGACTCACTGTAATGTTTGATAATACATTAAACTTTGATTGTATTTTGGAACAAGTGAATGAATGTTTTAGGATGTTAAAAAATAAAATTTTTACTTTGTATTTTGGGACGTTACACTACCGAGTTACGCTATCCGAGGACGAGGCATGGTGTACACCGAGTCCACCTACGTGATGTGGAGCCCGATGTCGAGTCCACTCCTAACAACCCGATTATCAAACTTAATTTTTAGATATTATATTTACTCTTCATAAATTTTAAAATATTATATTTGTCCAAAAAAATTTGTAATATTTTTAATAGCCTTATAATCAATTTTTATATCCTAAAATTATTATACTTAGAGAAAATTGTCAATATTGTCCTTACATTTAAACTTATGGAACATATGTTATTACATTGTTGGGATGTCCTCTGGAAAAACATAATGCATCATCTTCAACCTTTTTTTTTTTGTAATGTATGCACTGATTGCTCAGTTTTGTTATTAATAAAAAATATTTTAGATATAACCCTTGGACAGGCTGTATTAAACCCCATGTATACATTTCTATTTTCTTGTATTTTAGGGTGACAAAACTGCTATAGAAGATGGCGAGATCATTAAATTAACTGTTATATGCTATAATGTCTATCTCTACTCTCTTGCATGGTAAGATTCTAGAGCTCTTACTCAGTTGTTCTAGATTTTGCATCTCTTCCATGGGGAGGTACTCTTCAATTAGTAGTTGCTTCAACTTATCACAGGAGATAACATTAGTTGTACTAATTCCCATGGTTTTGACGTGGTTGTTCCACCATGACAATGTTGCGTCCTCCAAGACATACCTAAATTTACAATTTTTAGCACAAAAGCTGATCTTGAACACTGACTCCATTTTCTCGATCCAACGAGTCGGTCCTACTACAACTTCATTTCCTAAAAAGGGTTTGGGCTTTTAGTTCCTGAATTCCTTATAAGTACATGCTCTTGGGTTACTCCTGTTACCACCTGGTGTACCATCTCCTCTGGTTCCTCTACCTTTTCCGGATTCGACATTCCTATTACTCTATTAGCAGGGGGCCTCAACGACTCGTTGGGTGATTAATGCCTCGATGGCTACTCCGTCAAGGTTCAGTTGTGCTTTAGGGTTCCTTCTGGTGACTCTTATTTGAGGCAATTTTGGACCCTATTATAATCAGTGAAAAGAAAATGGAGTGTTAGCCGACGACGCATTTTTATATATGCGAGTAGTACCCACTAAGCACACGAGTTAGTGTAAAAACAAATATCGCAAAAAAATTATGTTAGGAGGGAAAAGCTTCGACATACTAAAAGGATATATCTAGGGGGATGGTGATGATATTGCTTTCTTGCATAAACGAGCTTCTTGTTATACTTATAATCCATAGATCTCAGGGCATAAATTATTTCGCACTACCTTTTTATGACTCACTTTAATGTTTGATAATACATTACACTTTGATTGTCTTTTGGAACAAATGAATGAATGTTTTAGGCTGTTTAAAAATAAAATTTTTACTTTGTATTTTCGGGACGTTACACTACCTAGTTACACTATCCGAGGACGAGGCACAGTGTACACCGAGTCCACTTACGTGATGTTGAGCCCGATGTCGAGTCCACTCCCTACAGCCTAATTATCAAACTTAATTTTTAGATATTATATTTGCCCTTCATAAATTTTAAAATATTATATTTGTCCAAAAAAAATTATAATATTTTTAATAGCCTTATAATCAATTTTTATATCCTAGAATTATTATACTTAAAAAAATGTCCATATTGTCCTTACAGTTAAACTTATGGAACATATATTATTAAATTGTTGGAATGTCCTCTGGAAAAACATAATGCATCATCTTCAACTCTTTTTTTGTAATGTATGCACTGATTGCTCAGTTTTCTTATTAATAAAAAATATTTTAGATATAACCCTTGATATTATGATGTTTAAGAATGGAATATATGATATTTTGGTATTTAAGAATGTCATATATGATATTTTGATGATTAAAAATGACATATGATATGTTGGTTGCATTTTATGCACCATTTTAGCATGTTTAGTATTTGTCTCATGCATTGCATTATACTGATATACCACATATTTTATTTGCATAAGACATTTTTTGGTGGTTTTCATTTCCAGCTTTTGGTGTCATTGGAGGTTGGAGATGATCGAGGATTCTTTTCCCTTTCATTATCATCCCTTATAATGTTATCTAATTATCTGGTGAATAATATCAAATTATGCTAAAATTAGACAGTTTTTTGATCGTATGATTCCCCTATTACGGTTACATTCAGACGAGAGTTGCACAATACAGCCGAATCACACTTTCTAAAACTACTCAATTCTGGAATCATATAACCTATGCATCCATCATATAATTAATAACATGTGTTTCTTAGATTTATATTTTAACGTATTTTTATCTAATGTTTATAAACTATATCATTATCTAGTTTGCTTGTAAGTTATAAGGAGAGACTTACCAATTCTTAGGGGTGGATTTTGGTTATTGTCACTCGGGTCGATGAAAAACGCTCTACCTTGAGAATTATTCCTTCGATTTGCTAATATTGGGAATTCTATTTTGAAGTGGACCACTTCCCCATATTAATAACAGTTGTGGTTCCTACTAATACCAATTCCTTGGGTAGTGGTGAGGGTCGGACCCCTACAAGACTTATTTGTGTAGCCATTCTTACCGAAGTTATTACAGATTAACTCTCTACATGCACCCATGTGATATTAGTTACACTTATTGCATAACGGAAAATCTCCTGTATATTGCCTTAAAGGAGTGGGTGAAGGAATGGTTGCTACATATACTTTCCCTAAGTCTTGCTTCTTCCATGCTACTTGCTCTAAATCTTTATCAGGATTTCTCTTGCTATTTTCTGATCCTAGTAGATCAATATTTAAAACCATAGTGCCCTAGCGGATTACCTGATTGGTAAAAGTAAAGGCATGTCTTTTAGCACTATCATAAGTTGTTGGCTTGGAAGCCGTAACCAATCCTTGGATATGCTGTATTAAACCCCATATGTACATTTCTATTTTCTTGTATTCTAGGGTGACAAAAATGCTATAGAAGGTGGCAAGATCATTGAATTGACTGGTATATGTTGCAATGTCTGCCTCTTGCATGCTAAGATTCCAGAGCTCTTGTTCTAGCTTTTTCATCTCTTCCACGGGGAAATACTCTTCAATTAGTAGTTGCTTCAACTTATCATAGGAGATGACATTAGTTGTACTAATTCCCATGGTTTTGACATGGCTGTTCCACCATTACAATGTTGTGTCCTCGAAGACATACCTAAATTTACAATTTTTAGCACAG